ACTCAACTCAATGAAATCACATAAGATTACAGTAATGAGTGAAGAAAATCAAAAATTAAAAGAGTATTTTGATTTCTAATGAAGAAGGAGAGAACTTTCTAGAAACGTCGCAGAGAACACGAGAGAATGAAAAGCCTCGAAGCCAAAAACAAAATACCACTGTAGTACTCAAACCCTAGAAGCCCTTTTGAAAGGTCACCTAATAGTCACCATCCAACGGTATTGAAGGTGACACATGGCGACATCTGAGGCGTCCAAAATCAGGTAAGTAAAACACGGTTTCTAGCATTTTCATAACACGTTTCTTGCACCAAGTAAAAACCATAATAGATTTTAGTAGCTGGGCCTTCAATTTCCAGCTGGGCCAACACTTTTAGCCTATGGGTATTGCATCATTGTGCCAAACAAATCCTTTCATCACCGTTTAAAATAACATTTTTAATATCTAGTTGATGAAGAGTCCACCCATAGTTAGCGGTTAGAGAAATCAACACTTGTACAGTGGTCGTCTTTGTCACTAGAGCAAATGTCTCTTGATAATCCAAACCATATGTTTGTGTATATCCTTTTAATAAGTCTTGCTTTGTGCATGTCAATTGTTCCATCAATTTTAAACTTTATAGTAAATACCCACTTACAACCTACTGGAGTCTTTCCTTTAGGTAAATGTACCAATTGCCAGGTTCCGTTCTTTTCCAAAGCTGTCATTTCCTCTAGAACAGCTTCTTTCCACTTTGGAAATCCTAGAGAATCCTGTACATTTTTAGGAATCTCTACACTAGAAAGAGCGGAGGTAAATGCTTGAAAGGAAGATGATAAATGATTATAAGACACATACTTTGAAATAGGATAACGAGTGCAAGAACTATGTTGTTTACAAAGTGCGATAGGTAGGTAGATCAAGAGATGCAGGATCATTAAAGGAAGAGATATCACCTGAATTTACCAGTTTTGTATTGCTCGTGGTTTAGTTCAAGGCATGGCTGTGGTGAAGTATGTGGCTGCATTTTCTCAGTATGATGCTTCTTCCTTGAATAAACTTTTAGACCAGGTTGCATTACTTGTTCCGTAACTTATTGGGAACAATCTGTGTGTTTATCACACCAATTGGAAGACACTTGTTGCTGGTTAGTCTGTGTAACACCTGAATCTATCATGACATTGGGCAAAACAGGTGGTGACTGTGACAAAACTCTGTCCTTTCTGATTGAAGGTTCCAAAACTGATCTGTTACTAGGGTGTTTGGTGGAGATTAAAATTAGATTTTCAGTGGATTGTGATAAAAAATTTTGAAATATGTGGTTGAAAAGTTGTGGGACCCATGAAAGATATGATTGATATTGATTGTTTAACTTTGACTTAAATTAAAATCAGATTTTAATCCGGCTCAAACATGCCTTTAATCTTTCCCTAAAGATGATTTTGGGGAAAAAAAGGAATTCATTTAAGAAAACGTGACATCAAAACTAACAATCATTTTCCTTGATACAGGATCATAACATTTATAGCCTTTCTGGGTAGGAGAATAGCCCAAGAAAATGCAATTTTTTGCTTTAGGATCTAATTTGCTACAAAATGTACTATGTACATGAACATAAGCTATACACCGGAACACTCGCAATGGAAGCATATTCGAAAATAATCTAGTAGTAGGGAAATTACTTTTCAAAAAATTTAGAGGTGTCAAGAAGGTCAAAATTCTATTTGGCATCCTATTGATTAAATATGAAGCTGTAAGGACAGCTTTGCCCCCAAAAATATTTTGGCACCCCATTTGTGAATAAAAAGGCCCGAGCCACTTCTAGAAGGTGACGATTTTTCCTTTCAGTTATACCGTTTTGTTGAGGTGTTTCAATGCTTGAATATTCGTGAATAATGCCATCTTTAGCTAAAAAATCCCCTAAAACATTGGAAAAATATTCACGGCCATTGAGACAACTTACATAGACACAAGAGGCATTGAGACATGTTGACAACGTTTGGGGCACAAAAATCGAGGTTAATAGGAGTAAAAACGATATGAAAACATTAATTGAGGATCAACACATAGTAATCATAATTAAGGTTAAAAAATATGTTACAATGGTTCACCCCAACTAATGATTTAGCTACTACATATAAAAAAAAAAAAAAAGAAGGATGAAAAAGAAGAAGAAGAAGATAAGGGTAATAGAGTACATTATCTGGTTTAAAAGAAAAATGAGATAAAG